CGGTATCTGCTTCACGATTCTCCCCTCAACTTTTCAACACAGTTACAAGTTACAGTAGGTAGCATTTCTGACCTTGTGGCTGCATGAAGACGAGGCTGCAGATTTCACGTACACGGGACAAATTAAAGGAAAAACTCAACATAAAGTGTAAGTAGTCCAGAACAGCTCTACTGGAAGGATGAACAGCATTCTTCTAAAAGATATTCCTTCATGTCACATCCCTCAAAAATCTTCCAGAGGTGTTTAAGTGGCTGAAGGCCAGTTAATGCAGTGATAATAATACTACGGAATTATTTATGTACCTTATTGAATATTTCAAAATAACATACAGCTCTAATTTGTATTTTACTACAGGTCCTCTGAGTCATATTGTGCTCAGCAGCAGCATATCCTTAGACAATCAATTCCAGTCAACACTTGATTTGTTGTGGCTGTTAAAAGGTAAGCAAAGGTATAAAGGTTTGTTATGGTGCATTTGTAACTTGCTTGCTTGTTAATTTAGCAAAGAGATGAAGGTCTGCTACTGTACAGTTTTTAATAATTCATACAGAAGTGAGCAACAAACTTGTTGACCTTGTTGTGATGAAATGCATATTGTATATATTGAGAAATCTAAATAAAATCTGAATATAAAAAATAAGTTGTAGACCTTGATCATTCGCTGAAAGATATACATTTTTGATGACACAATCTTCATGCCATTGACTCTGCATGCAAAGTTCTAACATTGCAAATTCAATGCAAGATTTTTGCCACAGCAGCCACTGTGGCTAAAAGGACTATTATTGGATAATGCTGTTATTAAATGGAGAAAAGTCTTGTCAGTAATGTTCATTTACAGCAATATTTACTTTAAGTTTGCTAACATTAGCTACCATTAGCCACCATGAGCTACTGGTAATACCAGGCTGTAGCAGGGAAGTCCCTAAGTGTAGTAATGATGGCAATGTGTATTTAATTATTATTAAATCTTTTTGATTTGAGAGAGGAAGGATGTTTTTTTCTTTCAATAGTTAAATAGACTCTCTTTAAAACAAGCTTTAATAATCAAACAATGTTTTGGATGAGGGTACATTGGATCCAACGTGGAGCTTTTTCACAGCAGACATTTGGCCAGTCTTTGCAGGAAAATCACAGGTGTAATTAATAACATTCATAACTGCAGTGCATTTAGAGAAGGCAGTTCTGCTACTGTGCATGCTGACTCGCTGGAATCGCTGACTGGGACACCTCAGTGGGATGGAGCTAATGTTAATGTTTTGAGTTGCACCTGCGCTTTCCATGCTTTGATGAGTCCAAATGTTTGCCGTGTAAAAGGTCTAATGCTAACAAGTGGAAACTGCAGCAGGATCACTAAAACCTGTGTCTCATCAGATAAACATCAGAGGATATTTAGGAGATCTATTTTTCAAAATAAAACAGAAAATCATCAGCGGCAAGCCGAGTAAATGATCTGTGTTTAAAATAGAAGTCTGTTCAGGTTCGTGTGCTGATTCTCACCCTTGTGCCAAACGCCAACTGGCAGTTGAGAGAAGAGGAGAGGGGGGAGAGGAGAGGGGAGAAGGGGAGGAGAGAAGAACAGTGGGGAGAGGCGGAAAACAGAGGGGGGGGAAGAGGAGAGAGGAGGTGGGGGGGAGGAGAGGGAGAGGAGAGGAGAGGAGAGGGAGAGGAGAGGAGAGGAGGGTGGAGGAGGAGGTGAGGGAGAGGAGAGGAGAGGAGAGGAGAGGAGAGGGAGAGGAGAGGAGAAGAGAAAGGGGTGGAGGAGGTGAGGGAGAGGAGGGGGAGAACAGTGGGGGGGGAGGTAGAGAGGAAAGGAAAGGAAGGGGAGGAGGTGGGAGGAGAGAACAGGGGGGTGGGAGGGCAGGAGAGGAGTGAGGGAGGAGGTGGAGAAGAGAGGAGGGAAATGAAAGAGGAGAGGAAAGGAGAGGAGAGGAGGGGAGAGGACAGGAGAGGAGAGGAGAGGAGAGGACAGGACAGGACAGGAGAGGAGAGGAGAGGAGAGGAGAGGAGGGGAGAGGAGAGGAGGTGCAGGGAGTGAGATGCAGGGCGTCAGGCTGCAGTGTGTCTAGACAGTATTCATGATCCATCTGTCTGCCACTGCCACGGCAACAGCCAGCGGCTACAACGAGATGGCAAACTCCATTACCACAGAAACATTTTCTATGTCCCTCTTTCTCCCCCTCACCCTCTCTCTCTCTCTCTCTCTCTCTCTCTCTGTCCACCTCCATATCTCTATCTGGTCCTCTGTCTTTCTTCCAACTCCCCCTTTTCTCTTCTCTCCCTCTGAGTCTGTCTGCACTCCTTTCAATCCCCTGCCTCTCTTTTTGGCAATCTCTTCTTTTCTTTTTCTCTCCCTCTCCCTCCCTCCCTCTGTGTCTCTCAGGCATCACCAGAAAATGTGCACCAGCTCAGAAAATTACAATCATTGTACAGCTTTCCCATAACGCCGGCCACAGACACTTACATTAACATTCGCTCTAGACAGCTAAATATTTTAAGTACCCGGCTCAGGATTCTATCCATTGGAAATGAGTGCACCCAACCCTCCCCCACAACCGCCCCCACTCCTCCCTCCCAAAATAAAAAAAAAGGTTGTTTCTAGTGCCTTGTGGAGGAAAAGAAGGGTAGACAGAGGGAGAAAAAAAGTGGGATAAATTTACAAAACAACAAGGCTGGCAGGTTTGAGAGGTAAAGCGCATTTGAGGTAGGGAGGTGAGGGAGTGAATGTGGGAGGGAGGGGTGAGAGAAAGAGATGGAGGGGAAGGTAAGGAACCCGCCAGACACACACACACACACACACACACACACACACACACACACACACACACACACACAGAGCCGAGGATGAAAGTGTTGCTGTAAAAAGTTTTCCCTCTCCTCCTAAAAGTTGTTGAAAGAGAACGCTGCAGCACATCAAAGTGGCCTGGCAGACAGCCATCGGAGCCCATTGGTGTCCTTCACCCTCTCTCTCCCTCTCTCTATCTCTATCTCTCTCTCTCCCTCCATCTCTTTCTCTCTGTGTGTCTCTTTCTCTGTTTCCATTGATCGTGACGAGTCGAGGGAACACTCTCATCTCGTTCCCTGGACAGTGCTGCTCAGCGGGAGGTAGAAGGAGGTGGTTGGTGCTTATGAAAGCAGCAAAGAGATTCAAACAAAAACTGCACAGAAATGGAAAGGTGTTTAAAAGTTTTTGTGACGAGGATGTTTTAGATGGATATGAAAAAATCCTGTAATGTGTCTATAGGGATCCAGCCTTATGGCAGTTTACAGTATATCTACCTCCAACTACTATATAAGGCTCTTACCAGCACGCTATCACCATGATCATCAGTAATGAGCTTCTGTAATGAATGTTGATGAGCTTCTCATGACTGAGATGGGATGTAAACTGCGGTCAGACACTTTGCATACCGAACATCCACCTTGACCCCCTCCATCAGAGGTTTTGCGGAGTTAAAGGACCAGTGTGTCGGATGTAGTGGTCTCTAGTGGGGTCGTTTTAGATCACATCAACCTCCCATTTCAAGTGTGTAGGAGAAACTACGGTAGCGACGAAAATGTGAAAGGCCCTATCTAGAGTCAGTGTTTATTTAGTCAATTGTCACAAAATCTGACCTGTGTAACACGTCACCGTCCTCAGAACCAGCTGTCCTCAGCAGCAAAGCTCCTGAGGTGCAAACAGGACAGACGGCGGCAAATCGTCTTCACCAGGCAGAGTAATATTAGAAAGTCAATGGACAAAGGCAGTGTGTAGTACTGGAGTAGTAGGCCTTTTGAGAAGTATACATGCCACACGTCCGTCTCCCTGAGTCAGTGTTAACCATTTTATTTGATAGAACAGAAGCCTGTCTGTATGTATACATGTATGATCTGCCTTATAATGCTCTATTAGGGGCCTAAGTGTTGGAGCCATTTTGCAGATTTGTCTTATTTATGATTATGTTGAGACATCATTCATTTCCTGTTGTGAATTATGCTTATCACGTGTTGGAATGTCCTGTGTTGAGGCTTTTGTTGTTTTGTTTGTGGTTATTGTGATAATTATGATGATAGTGTGATATGACTGGGAGGCGTGGCATGCCCTTTAATTTAGGACACTGGAACAGCTGTTCACTGGAGTGGAAGGGCAACCACTGGACAAATACAAATCAGTTGTTATACACAGTACAGATCATCTGCATTCATTTCATACTGGTCCATCAATAAATGAATCTGAATCTTGATATTTGAGATTATGTGAATGCGTGTTGATTCTAACATGTCTTTTGACTTGTGTATGCATTGGATTAATTACTGAATGTCTTATTGTCTAAGATGTTCCTGTGATTTGACTCTATGTGACTCTATAGCTTGTGGCTCTGTTACAAAAGTGTTGTGTAAAAGCTGCAGTGGTAATTTAATAAACTTCCAACCGAAAGCATCTTTATATCCTTCTTGGCTCTGATTGGTTGTTTTGGTTCGGGCCCAGTGGATTCTTGCGAATGCTATAGGGAGCACTAGAATGAGCCAGAGGAACCAGATTTTTTCACAGATGATCTGTCTCACCTATTACAGTCAGGATATAGTAAAGAATTCAGAACATTTCCAAAAAGGAATTTTAAGTAAATTACCTACTGCAGCTTTAAGTAATTATAGTATTAAAGTAAATTTGGTGCTGATGGTGTGCTGGAGTTCACCACTTATTAAATCTACATGCCACAAAAGTTCTATCCTAAAAACAACTATCCTAGAAAACTCATTATACTGCATTGAGAGGTAGTTTGCAGCACCAAAAAGACCCTCAGGTGGCACCTCGGCATTCACATCATACCTGCTCACTGGGATCCACAAAGAGACCCCAGGGAGAGCAGAGCTGAAAACAGCAGACAGGAAAGATAGGGGGACGAGGGAGGAAAGAAAGCCAGGTTGAAGATGTGAGTCTCGGTTTGTTTGTATTGTTTGATGGTCTGAGGTATAGAGAGGGGGGGCACAGAGATGGAGCAGCATCCTGCAGCACTCACAGTTGAAGATGCCCGGCGGAGGGTGCTGGGTGACCACGGGGCAGTTCTCCTCATCGCTGTTGTCCCCACAGTTATTCAGCTGGTTGCAGATCAGCGAGCCCAGACGCAAACAATTCCCATTGGTGCAGTGGAACTTGCACTCTGTACAGCCGGGGAGGGGAGGGAGGGGAGGGATGGTGGGTGGGGGGCAAGAGAGAGAGAGAGGAAACATTTCTTACCACAAGCATTTAAAACGTTTACTTTTCTGAATAGAGCTGCGTTCACAGTCTAAACATCAGTCTAGAAGCAAATATTGTATCCGATGTTCCACTTTGCACCCTAAGAGAACAAAATGTTTTGTTTATTCAAGGTCTGTAAGTCTTTATTGCCTTTAAAGAATGATAAAAAAAAATGATTGGTCTGCTCATCTTTCTGCAGTTGAAATAATCAACCAAAATGGGAAAATAAATAACAAAAAAAAATAAATAAATACCATTTTGATAAAAATACATGTTTACAAGAGGTGTTCATACAGAAAAAAAAACAAGTTAAAAAAAGTACGCCCACACACATACACCAGTGTCACTGCAATAGTAGTGCATGCAGACACACTCTAAAATGTGTAAAAGCACTGATAAACTGTATGGACAACAAAATGCTCAAATACCAGGCTGTTATGTGCAGTTCTGCCCGTTATCTACGCCTCAGAATGTGCAAGGTCATGTGGAATGATTTTTTTTACCTGTAAGCTCAAACACAAAGCAGAGTTAATGTGTTGAGTTCACACAGAAACAAGGTCAGGCGAAAAGTGGTCTCCCGTTCAAAACAACAAATAAATAAACAGCTTTTCAAACGGGCCTTTGATGTGCCGCAGCCCCGAACCATAATGTTCTGTCACGGTTATTACCAAAACGCTTCTTTCCCCCCTAAATATTAATATGCCTGATTAGCACTATCTGGTGAGGAGGGAAAAAAACACCTCGAACCTATAAATGTGAAAATGAAAAATATATATATTCTGGAGGGAATGAATAATCATGCAGAACTTTAATCATAATAAGTGAAAATAACAACAACAAAGTGTTTGATGCACTGGAAAGCAAGGCCATGTCAGTATGCCCCGGAGTGTGATGTGTGCGGTTTAGTGCAGCCAATCTGTGAGAGCTCCACTCACACTGAGCCCACAACGACTCCAGAAAGTGAGAGTCTCTGCAGAGAGGAGAAAATAAATGGAACTTGAATGATAAAGACTCACACGCGCAGTTATATACTCCACAAAAAGAAAAAATGGTTATGGTATGGTATGGTATGGTATGGTATGGTATGGTATGGTATGGTTCAACCGAAATCACAAGTCATTTCTTTTTGCAGTCCAAATTCTTTAAGTGATTCTCTAATTTATTGCTTATTTTTACTCTAGGAAATAGGTCTTTGGAGATACATCTGAAATGAATAACATTGTTTGAAATGTCAATGCAACAAAACCAGCGATACTGTCTTTTTTATTGGTGCCTACATCACCCACAATGCAACTCGGCTGCCAACAGCTCAGTCGGAGATTTGAGTGTGTTATGCTAGTAGGGGCTAATACAGTGTTGATCTGCTAGCCTCAAGCAGAGATGAGGTGTGGGCTATGATGTTGACTCATGTGACATCAATTGAGGACATTCATGTCACTTCACACAGCTGCAGTTTCCTACAGCATGAAAGCATGACATGTGGACTCCTCAATGGGAATGTTTTTCCAGAAACAATGTCCTGGTTACTATAATCCACAGACCACACTGCAACAGTTTCTTACCTTTAAATAACAGCTCCCTAATGCAAACTGTTGACAGGCTGTGGATTATCCAAAGTAACCACATGATTGTTTCTGGAAGGAGACATTATTTTCATATTTCAGTTTTCAACACTTACAGTTGGAGAGCAAGTGAATTTCAGTCAGAGTGGAACACTGATTAATAATTAAGTGTGTGAACTGTGTGAATTAGGCAATTATAATGTAACCTGAATAGCGACCCATTAGATGTACTGTGTATTTACTTTAATACTTGATATTCTGGAGGTCTTACTTCCCTCCTGATCAACTACTGAACAGAATCTACAGTTCACTACAACTTAATTTTCAGTAACGTCACAAAGTTTCACTGTTAAAGTGGTCTCTCATTAATCACTGCCAACACAATTAAAACTGTAATTAAAACTCACACAAACTTTAACAAATAATAATTGAGTGGTGGAGGCGGTTTCATAACAGTGTTTCGCTGCATGTCATCTCCATGGATACGATTACTAACGTTTTTTATATTCTTTCTGAGAGACAAAATTTTTTTCCTCAGATTTATGATGTGGAGAGTAGAAAAACATTCTCCTAGAACAAAGGAAAATCAATCATAAAGAGAAAAAAAAAAAAAACTAAACATGTGCCATGAAAAACCAAGGTTGGATGGCTGGAATACCAATCCCAGGGGGCCCAGAACTCCAGGCTTAATGTGTGTCAGCTGGTTTGTGCCAGCTTAAATAAAAATTTGTTGGGAAGCATGCTCCACTAAAGCGCAAAATCAGCTAGCATGATGGCCTTAGAGGAGTACTCCAGAGTTTCACTATTGTCCTTCTATAATACTGGGGCACTCGGAAGAAACATTAAAACATCAGGACGAGATATATCCACTACTAGTCCGTAGTGCTAAAGATGTATCACCAGTAGTGTTTTTTCTTATTAGGATTAATAAGATGACAGTAAAATATGTATAAAAAATAATGTATAATCATTTATTTACAACAACAAATTTAAAATTTCCTTGCAAACATTTTTGAAAAGTCAAATTTTGAAGGAATTTGAAACCTTAATTGTTTGCATCGAAGTTTGCTTGCAAGCAGATTTCTTCTTTCCCACAGCGTTCCCCAAACTTTTTATTTGGTCCCCTATTGGCAGTAAAATGTATAACAATGCTATGATATGTGAATTATATTTCCTCATGAAGAGACAACATTGTCTTCTATTTTAATTAGGAAATTTAAATTAGAGGGCTATGCACATACTTATAGAACTGGAGTTACATCCAGTGAAGACTATTTTTTTGCTATGCTGGTCTGTTCAGCTCAGATGCCGTGTGCAGGGGCCCCCCTCTCTCTTTTTCTCGCAAACCTGGACCTGAAAACGTGTTAACGTTCTCTGGTTGAGGTTGAGTGTGACTCTCGATCGTGTGCATGATGTCGAAACATCAATAGCTTTACCAAAGCCTTTGGAAATGAAGATGAGAGACCTGACTGTGTTCTACATGGGGAAGTGCTTTGTAATAAGAGTTTAAAAATTGGACGGCAACATTCTTAGTATCGGGGCAAGTCAGAGAAGTGTTTTGACACCAGAAAAGTAAGTCGGGCATGTGTTTTAGGATTTGAATTGTTTGTTTTGTGTGTCTGTTGGTGACTAGTATGTTGCTAGCTTCTTTATTAGTTTGGGTCCCAGGGAGACAACAAATTTCCCCTTTTGGTCATAAGCTTAAAGATGTTTGGGAACGCCTTGTTACCTCGGCACTAATCCCGATCACTACCGCGCAGACTCTCTATGTGACGTCACAAGCGATCCAGGATATTTTCACTTCACTTTTGTACAGTGGAAGGAAGCGGAGACGCCACGTCCATCTTTATATATGTCGGCGGTACGTACATGTGCGTGCACAAGAGCAAACTAAACAGGGAATCACAATCAAAAATATTGCTCCATAGTGCTACAAGAGGTTAAATACTTCAGGGGTTATCTTTAATTTGTTTGTAACCCACTTACCACACAGCTTACCTGAGGCCAGCTAGTATACAAGTATTAAAAAACACTGTACACTTCGTACAGGCAGGGAACCATCGGCTCATTTTTGCCCCTGGGCCCCCTTTTTAAACTGGATGAAAGACAGAACCTGTACTCATCTACCATGATTATTACTTGTGGTCCGACTGAGACGGCCACAGAATACTAAAGAGGTAATCAGACACAACATGCTCGGTTCAGCCAAGTGTTTTTTTTTTTTGGATATGTAATCTTCAAGAAAGAAACAGACCTGAAACATCTGTACAGCGATATGTGGAAACAAACAAAAAAAAAAATAAATCAAGAAAGTGCTATTTTGGATTTGTCCTTACAGAATCATTTCAAATGTTTAGTGCAACAAATGAGTCCTGCTTCATATGTGGACAGTACGTGAGGCTGAGGAAATTGGACTAATTTACACAACTCCCACTGAAATATTCAGTCAAATGATGTCTTTGCCATAGTAACAAATCAGCTTTGACTCCTCCGCGCCAAACTCATTACTTAATGTGATTACGAAGGTCTAATCGACCGCTGTAATCAAGTCTCAGCCAGATTCTTCACACTTCTGGTTGCGATTCCTCTCCTTCTCTTTTCTTGTACTTGGCAAGGTAATAGATGGAAGACGGAGGCAAAAAAGAATTCTTCACAGGAAAAGTGGAAGGAAACGTTTTAATGAAATTCATTAGTGTTTTTTTGAGGGAGGGGCTGTGTGTTGTTGCAGTTAATCAACACACACACACACACACACACACACACACACACACACACACACACACACACACACACACACACACACACAAACACACCAGCAAACACCTTGCAGGCCCATTCCTGGTGCGAGTCCTTCCGATTTGCCCGGCTGGCAGTGAGCGACCTAATGACACTGCACATTTTCTCCTCTTCCTCCCATAACAAGAACAGCTTGTTCTGCTCTTGTCTAGACGGTGGCGGGGGGGGAAAGAAAAAGGCAGGAACAGAGATCCGATTCAAAGAACAGACCAGCATGACCGTTCTTTGGAACAAACCCTCTCCCCTTCTTCTGAGTGGCAATTAGTGAAGCCTCAGTGACTTGCCCAGCCTCTCCTCTCCTCGCTCCGTCTTTCATTTTGTCTCATCTATTACTCTCATCGTCTGTCTAGACTCCTCTTTCAGTCTCATCTCCTCTTCTGTCTATCCTCTCCTTTCCAGCTCTATTACTCTCTATTACTCTCCCATCTTGTCTTCTTCCATCCTCTCGCTCTCTGTCTCTGCTTTTACTCTCCATTCTTCTGGGCATCCTCCTGTCTCCTCCACTGCTCTTCTTTTTCTTCCTCTTCAGCAACACTCCCATTCAGCTGTCACATGAATTTGAAGC